TCGTCGACAATAAGTTGTGGACTGGTTTATGTATGGTCCCAAAATTGTTGTTGGAACAAACCTTTTATTGTATAATTGTAAAATGCATGACACATAAAGTTACTAGATTTTGGCACGTTATAGATTAATTACATAATATTATGTGAGGTGGCAGTTATCAAAATGATTTTGAATGTGTCAAATTGTTAAAAATCTTATGTCCAGTTTATATCGTCAGAATTTCACCAGCTGATATTTTATAAAAAAATAAATAAACTATGATCCAACTTTGTATTTGTATATTTTGATATTTAAAAAGTTTTTATAAGTATTTTAGCAGACACAAATTTTTTTGCGAGGCTCTTGGAAAGAGGTACAACCAAATGGCTGCAGAGACATTAAATATTTCTGATACAGGATATGCGAAAATAATGTCTAAAAACTAAGCCAAAGTAAAACAAAAGTCAATTTTTTAATAAGTTGAGGTAAGTTATATATAAGATGTACGAAGGTGTGCAACATGTAACAATAAATCGTTACATAAACGATTTTCGGAGGAAATGCCTGATGTTAAATGTTCTGCACGGTCAAATAATACATGGATTCGAAAATTTGGCTTTCGCTTTAAAAGAAGTAACAACAGACCGTTTTTATTGGAACAAACATCGATTCAGTTGAAAAAATGTCGTCTTTGAAAAATTTTAACAAGGAGATTTCTGTATCTGTAACGTGTTGAAGGTGGGTTACCCCCACGGCACTTAGGCCTTATTAGGCCCATTGTGCATCCTCCTAAGATGATAGGCACCTCCTAGTCCGTGAGCCAGCCTACAGATTTAATGCAGTTGACAACGTCGCCAAGAGGTGCTTCTCTTATATCGACCGGTGTTAGCCGATACTCGCCGAACACAAATCTTCTAATAAATGAAAGCGTCGAGCAATCGTAAAGGATATGCTCGATGGTCTCATCTTCTTGTTCGCACCCTCTGCAGAGTACGGATTCTGTCAACCCCATGATATGGGAATGCTTCCGTACTTGGCAATGACTAGTCAGAATGCCTGTGACTAGGCGCAGATTCTGTCTAGTCATATTCAAGTATCTGTTTGCTGCAGTGTTGTCAGGATAACTTAAGAGCTCCCTGGCAACTCTGCAGTTTCTTGTTTCATCCCATCTTTCCTTGAATTTCACAAGGGAATGTTCTTTAATTAGGTCTGTCACTACCGATTTTGTCAGGCCAATAGAAGGGCCAGGTCCAAAAAGTATTTGGTTGGCTGCTTTCTTGGCTAGTGAATCAGTAAGACGGTTACCTTTCGATGTGGCGTGACCTTTGATCCATCTTAACCACATTATTGATGGATACTAACAAGGATATAGAGCTGGATAATATTTAGCCTGTAATTATGGATGAGGCGTGGGTATATAGCAAGGGAAGTGACAGAAAAAGTTGGCAAAATGGAACGATAGCTACCGCAAGTAAAAAAAAACAGTAGATGGAATTGGGTACATAATTGTCCATGGTGGCAATGAAGAAGGGTTTATAAAAATGCAGACCTCATATTAAAAAATCAAACAAAAAGTGGGAATTGCCATAATAATATGAACACAGAAAATTTTAAGAAATGGTTTAAGACGAAATTTGTACCTAGTCTGGAACATCCTTCTTTGATTATAACCGATAATGCCAGTTATCATTTCCTGTAAATGGAATCAATTCCATGTTATAGTTGGACATAGATAAAATGGTTGCAGGAAAATAACATTAATTATCCAATCAATGGTATGAAATATCAGATTTGGGAAGTTGTACGTCAAAATTTACCACGAAAAGAATTCCATCCAGGTAGATATGTTGAGAAATATAAGCATAATATATTAAGATCTCCTCCATATTACTGCCAGTACAATGCGATAGACATGTTGTGGTCACAGTGCACAGTATTTTAGACTTGGTCAGAAGCTTTGTATAATGTTACCGATACTCAGTGGGACAATTATGTAAGACACTAAAAACATAATTGTTTCCGATTGGAAAAAATACAAGCAATTAGATGTTTTTGATCTAGAACCAATTATTATTAATTTAGGTACAACGGCAAGTAGTGATGAGGCTGATTCAGAGTCCAATTATGAAGAAAATGATATTGATTAAAAAACATTATATGAGTTACCCAATAAATATTTTCTGTGCCTTTTGTGTAATATATTTTTTTAACAAAGAATCTGATTCACGAATTTGCACCTGTTTTGGATTATCTTTAAAAACTCTAAAAACCAATGTTCAGCTGGTAAATTTATTTATAAAGTACGAAAATAAATTGTTCTAGTATTTGTAGATAAAATGTAATCTAATTTTTTTCAGAGTAACTTCTTGTATTCGTGTAAATGCACCTTAATAAAGTTTACGCTGCTGAGCAACAACAAAGCGCAACTGAAATAAGAAGACACGTTCAAACTGTAACTAAAAATGCGATACTCTTTTGTCAGAGGGTATTTCTATCACTTTACGATGGAGAGCTGACACACTGCGTCCTTGTCTTATGCACGGTACGCTGCATTAATTTTTTTCTCCCTCTTATGTATTTTTAACAGTTAGCAACCCATATTTGCGGGTACTTTCACATAGGCAACCGAATTCCATCGTGTATAGATATAAATTAACTTTTATAATTTATTAATATACACATAAGGTCTGTTTCAACAACGATCAGAAACCAGTCATTGACAACAGGATTGTGCGCAGTATAAATTGGGTGGTCTAAATAATCTGCTGCGCATAAGCCTGGTGTCAATGACTGGTTTCGGAGGTTTGTTGGAACAGACCTATTAAAATCGTATAAATAAATTTGGTTGACAAGAGTTTGCGACCAAGTGAAAAATGGCAACTCAAACTTTTTAAATTTTTAACATATTTCTCTTTGAACTGAATTATATTTGTTCTTCAAAGCAAGTGGATGAAATTGTTACAAATATTTATTTATTTTATTTTTGCGGTCATAATTTGATAGACAGATCGGCAAAACCGTATTTCCCTATCAATAATTATTCATAAAAATTGTATTTTGGATAAAAAAAAGATAGGTGCACTAATCACATGGTCGGATCTCGTACTATATTTTGAGGTACTGAGCCTATAGTTAAAATATATACTATTTCTTATGAAAAACCCTGAACAGCGTTAAGCTCCATGTTTTAAACTATTTTCGAATATAATTAATTTTAAACAGAACTGACAACAAATTTTTTTATTTAGTACATTATTTTCTCATTTTTTTTTTTATTTTATGATTCCATTCATGTAATACCTTACCAGCTCCCTCATCTGACTGCAAAAAGCGACACATCGTGTTTTCTATTTGAAGTTCAATACAGGGGAGGGGGTGAACATGTACTATACCGTGATGATGGGAGCGTTCACGTAACCTGTGAGAGTCAAAGTAAAGTTGCTTACGATGCTTCTAGACGTCAATAACAATAAAAATTCCTTTGCAAATATTTTCTATTGTTCGGTTTTGCTATTTCCGGTTTAGGGATTTCGGCCACTTGACCGCATATTTACGGTTTTCAAAGAAATTCTTTTCTGTATCCAAGATAATATTGCAAGCATTTTTTTGTATCGGCGAGAGGTTTCATATGCAAAAAAAGTTGTAACTCTGAAATAGGTGTAAAATCGGTAGCAAAAGTCGATAGGTGGTTTAATTGCTCTCAAAATGTTTGTATGGCTCTCAACCAAAAGTATTGCTCTTGTAGATATTTTTTGTACCGTAGTTCAATCATTTAAAATTACATTCGTTCCAGGTTTTTTTGGAAAATAATGTCAAAATAGAATGAGGTAGAACTACTAAACAAAAAATGCTTGCAAGAGCAATACTTTTAGTTGAGAGTCACCATTTTGAGAGCAATTATACCATTTTTCGATATGAGGTTCTGATTTTACTCCTATTTCTATTTTACATTTTTTTTGCCTGTTAACCCTTTCCAAACACAAAATAATGCTTGCAATAATTGCATCTTGGATTTAAAAAAACGCGTTTAAGCTACATACCGAATTTCGTTAAAAAACTTAAATATCCGGTCACGTGTCCGAAATCCCTAAATCGGAAGTAAAGGTATTTTTTTTTATTGTTATTGACGTATAGATGCATATATTTCAATGTCGGCAAAAAATGACAAATCCATCGATAAGCAATTTCACATGAACACTTCCACCATGTGGCCATAGTACATGTCATTTATCCCCGTACTACAAATAGTAAGCAAAAAACACGACGTGCCACTTTTTGCACTCAGAGAAGGTTCTATAATTATTATTATACTTTAATTCTGCCTGTTTTCTATAAAGTTATTAGTTTTAGGATATTTTTAAATTAAAACGACAAAAAATTAAATTCAGATAACAGTGGCGCATCCAGAGCTTAAGTCTGGAAGGTAGCGGTAATATTAAACACTTTATTTCTGATAATTCATTTTTAGTAAGTAAAAAACTTAAGTTTAATTTTTTTGGGGTACTCACCCCATTAACCCTCTGTATATGCTCCCCTATCAGATAACAGGGGGGAATTCAAATTTCAAATAAAATACAGGGTGATTCGTTAAAAAAAAACCTTAACTTTGATCTAGTCTAAAGGTATGTGAAACCCTGTATATTCGAAAATAATTTTAATACAGCAAAATATTATGATTTTTTTATATCTCCAATAGTGCTTCGAGTAATTGTTTATCACACTAATAAGGAAACTTGTATAATGTATTATCATTAGTTCAACTTGAGGAGTACTAACAATAGGATATTCCTGCTCAGTTGTTAAACTAAGAGGTTTAATCATTATCTTGGAACAGATTTAATTTGGAAGACATGATACACGTATTTGTAACTTAGTTTATTTGAAAACTTTTAATATTCGAAATAACCATGGTTTGCATACACTAATCGGTAGGAAAAAAATAAAAAAAAAAAACAACAAGTGTTTCGGTGTTTAGAAAGGCAGCGCTGACTGTATGTTGTTTGTCTGTTTGTTTGGTCTAGATGCCTGCCTTCCTGTGTATACCTCTCAGTTAGACTCGCTGAACACGTCTACGACACCGAACACTATCACCGAGCACCAGCAGGTATTTGAACGCCCTGTATACTATTACTTAACTCATTTCCTACTCTATCTCTCTCTCCTCTATGTACGCAACCCCTTTCTAATTCGATGTACGCCAGTGTGCCTTGCATGATGATTTTTTGATGTATTTTTCAGTCGATGTTTAAACCATTTTTTTTATTTTGTCAATGTTTTTGAATCACAGAGATCCTGTTCCAATAGATACACGTTGATGTAATGCTGTATGTAGGTAAAACTCACTTGTGTTGTTCAAAACCAACGACGAAAACCATTCATTCATAATTATGCCAATAATAACTGGCATTGAGAATGTAAATATATGTATGTCCTTAGAGAAATTTTAAAAGCCCTTTGTTCGTTTTAGAGCAATATGTTAATTAAATTCCGAATTGTAACTATAAACAATCCTTGTAACAATACTCTTCCATAATTTCGATGGCCTAGAAGCAATACCTCGTGAGTACAAGGGTCAAGACAGTAAAAATGCCATACATAATGTTCTATTTATCTTTTTGACATAGTTGAGTAATAAATAATATATATATTATTATAACGGTTTTTCTTCATAATCACAAATTTTGATAGATGTACTTACGTGTTATTGCTTCTAGGCCATCGATTTGTAAATGCTTGCAATTCGGTTTTTGTAAATCAAATTGGTCTAGTAATTGTTCGTCATTATTCAAAACGGAAAAGCATTAAGGCACAAAATGTTCAGAAGCAATTTTTTCCCAACACGATTATTAGTCTCAACGTTAATTTCACAAATCTCTAGATGACGTTATTCCTTTCCACGGATATCATAGTAAGCAGTTTTGTCATAAATATAGACATGTTTTAAAATTTTAATTAGAATTTATAAAATTTGCTTATTTTTCATGTAAAACATCTTTTTCAACTGGATATTTGAAATTAATAACAATAACTCTACAAAGTCTAATAAAACTGGATATTTTAAATTGACACACATATCTTTCTGTCAACTCTAATAATTTAAATTAGAAACAATACTTTCATTTAGGTATATTAAAATTGTTTAAGTCAGAAGGTATAGTATAATGTTTGTATTACCCCAATAGAAGTTTTAATTGTTTTTAGTAACTTTTAGTTACTAAGCGCAGGTGCATTATTAATGTTAAGAAGTTTTCAAAATATTGAATTATTCATAAAATATGTTTCTAAAGTAGCCATTGGAAAATTCTCGTATGTCTATGAAGACAGCATTGTAATTCTTATCTTTCAATACAGCACGTGTTGAGACGCCTATCTTCGTTCCACAGAATGCGATTCTTATATATCTCTCTCTATTCGATTCGTTACGTGTTGAGTTCGCACATAAGAATCCCTGTCTGCCGCGACATAGCGTCCATTTGGACGCCATTTTTTCCGAAATAGTAGTCGCCAGGCCTGCTAATATAAGAAAAAAAAATATCACTGTGTTATTTAAATGACATTTTCTTTATAAAATGCCCAGATTTTTTATGCTAAAATTTTTAAATTTAATCAATTATTAATAATCTTACATGTAATACTAGAGAAGTAGATCACTTTCAATTTTGTGCTGTTTTAGTTTGGTTTGTTCTAAAAGGTAATATATGAAGAGAATTTTCTTATAGATGAGGATGCAGAACAAATCGTGGTTCCCTTTTTTAAAGCTCCAGTCCCCTAAGTCTATTTATTTTAGGACTTTTTAAATTGTTAGTAGCATTTATTCACTTAATTTTTATTTATTTTTAATAATAATTTTGTGAAATATCTTGTGATTTGTTTTCTATACATTTTAGCAGCATGTATTTGTTCGCTACATCTTACAAAGGATGGCTTTGAAATACCTTTACAACAGAGGTACTTTCCTAAAACTGGCTGAAATTTAAAACCGATTGCAGTTCCTACAGAAAGTTTCCAGTAAAAAAAGACGCATTTGTCTGCATGCAGAATAACAGTAGCGTAGGTTAACAAGGCTGACAAAAAAAAAATGGGCGAACCTTTGTTTAGCTTTGTTAATATTTTAGAGCAATAGTGTTGACACAACAAGAACAACCAAAATTTTGTAATCAAGCAAAATATTTCAGTATCTCCAGAATTATATGAAAACTATAATACACCGAGAAAAAACTTTGCTAGTGGGTATTAAACATTTAATCCGGTTATTAAATTTTTTAATACTATATGAGAGCTACTGATTAATAGCACATATTAAACTTTTGTTCTTGGATCAATATTGCAAACAAATAAAAAACTTTGCTTATCATTAGTAAATTAATTTGGTAACAGGTATTATACAGTTTATTGGGAGGAACTAAATACTTTAATAGTCATTATTAAACAGGGTAGTGATAGATAATGAACAGTTTAATAGCATTTAGTTAACAAGTATTAATAATTTAATAACTGATATTAATGGCTTTAATGATCGATATTTGCAGGTCCTAATACTGTCTATTAAAACACTTTAATTATGATTATTAGTTTCATAGAGGTCGTTCAAAAATATCTTCTTCTCCAATAATTGGTAATTGTCTCTATCTAACTATATGAAATATAACCACATGCAAACCTTAGCTTAGTACCCCACTCTTTTTTGTTTTTAGTTCAAGAAAAAATACCTATATATATATAAAGGTTTTATTATCTGGACGACTGTGGGTCTGGGTCAATTTTTCCAAAACTTGGTATAGTTAAAGAGAAATACATATTTAACACCTACAAATATAATAAACTTTATAAGTGGGGTACTACTAACAGTTTGCAAGGATATAATTCATATTAATTAGAAAAGACACATACCAAAACAACGACCGGCAATCTCCAATTCTTTAGTAATTCCGAATAATCCATTATTTTAGTTCATTAAAACCCACTGGAACACGATTTACTTGTACCACAGTAGTACACTAAATTCCGTAGGGTTAGAGTTGCTTCTTCAGTACATGCTATGGCGCGAATGATTATTGAGATGGTAAATCTACATCACGTAGAGTATGAAGGGGATAACAATCGTTAAAATTTACTTGTGGTTATCGAACATTTAATTATGGTTAGCAAACTGCTATTAAAGAGTTTAATAGGCACTATTAAATCAGTTTAATAGTAATGTAATAAGAAAGCTAGTGGGTATTAAAGTTTTTACTAATATGCTATTGGTTATTAAACAATTGACTAATTACAGCAGTTTCAAATTAATACATTTCCAGCAACATTCGTTTAATTACTGGTATTCACCGAAAATGAAGTAATTTGTTAGTAACAATCAACTTTTTTTTAATTAAACATATTTAATAGACCTCGTTTTCTCGGTGTAGGAAACATGTATGTCTATAAATAGAAAATTACCGAAATTAGCATATCTAGTGAACATTACATTTCAAAATATATTTTTATTCAAAACTTTTGTTCCTTTAGTGCAATATTAAGCATCTTGAACTGCATATTATGCATTTTATAGTACAAAATAAGATTCGGATCAAATATACCCACAATTTATAAACATTAAACTAAAATAAACCAATTTCAAATAACACCTGTTTCTTATTTAAATAAAATATGTTAAATATATGTTTTTATTAAATACATAAGTTAGTCTCAACCATACATTTTTTGTTTTTATTTCTATTTCTATTTCTATTTCTATATTTCTATATTTAAAAGTAACTACTAATTCACAGTCTTTTAATTTTATTACTACAAAATATCCAATTGGCGATAATTTCTCTTTAATAGTGGTTTTGCATTTATCAACATTTTACAGCACTTTGTTTATATGAGACATCTATCTAGCTATTAATTAAATTACACATATTATAAGATTTAAATCAAGTAATTACATTTTCATATTCAACTTATGTATTCTTAATATTCTTATTGGTACTTAGTCACTTAAAAATGTTGAAAGAGAATGTTATAAAGGTGAAATTCTTCTATGGTGTTGTCCAGGCAAATTTTACGTTGTAAACATTTTGTCCAACACCTTTTTCACAATTTATCCGAAGCAACACTATGAAAGATTTAAATCCTGGATTTACAGCATTCAGTTTTGATATTAATGAGAGGAATGTAGTCACAATGCAGTTTCAGAGATACTACGCACGGCTCTGAATTAAATATTAACTGACACTTAAAAAGATGATGAATTGTAACGCTCGACATACGTAAATTTTTCCAATGCCTACTTTAGAAACATTTTTTGTGGATCACTCCTTACTGTTTTATGCACATGTTTTATACTATGCACATCACCGTAATTAATGATTGAGGGTTTAAAAAATGTGAAAGTAAATAAAAACTTTAATTAGCAATTTATCGTGTGCATCAAATTGAAAATAATAGATATTATGTTAGGAATTGAATGAATCACCCTATATAAGACTTCATGTGAGAAACGTCAGTACGAAGTACAGAATGTCAATTGTGTAATTCTCGATATTGTAATCATTATAGTTGCATGTTCATTTCATAGTAATATATAGTTATATCCTATACGTAGTCCATCTTTACTCAGTCCCAGACTTCTAGCAACTCCAGCTGTTCTAACAGGTTATGAGCCCAGCTACGGTTCATCTGTGGTACTGAATGAAGTGACGTGAAGCGTAGAATAAAATGAATGGAAGCAGCTCGTTCAGAATTGAAACTCTTAATAAAGAGAACTATGACACCTGGAAGATGCAAATGGAAGCATTGCTCATTAAAAATGATGCTTGGGTGTATGTAAATAGTGAATGTCAAAAACCAGTGTTAGTAGCAAACGATGCAGAATCAAAGAGAGCGGTAGACAATTGGATCAGGAACGATAGTAAAGCAAAGTCTGACATCATCCTATCCATCAGTCCTTCGGAATTAAAGCTCGTCAAAGGCTGTACCAGTTCACGTGAAATTTGGTTGAAACTGGAAAGCATCTATGCATCGAAAGGGCCGGCAAGAAAGGCTACGTTGCTGAAACAACTAACTCTACAACGCATGAATGAAGGGGAAGACGTGCGTGAACATATTAATAAGTTTTTCGAT